CGCCGCGTACCTGACCGCAAACGGCCACAGAAAATGGGGGGCAGCCGCATGCATCATAGACGTACGAGCGACGTCCATGACCATGCCAATGCGGCGCTCAGCAATCGCATTTTGCTGCGGTGAGTCCGGAAGCGTGAAGGTCTGGCGGATGCCTCGCGCACGACAGAAGGCACGCAGAAGGCCAGAGGAGAACTCTCCGCCTCTGTCCGAGTGCAGACGCAACACAGGAAAGTCCGAGCCAAAGCTCTGCCTGAGCTGGAGACGAGCTGCGCGGATCCAGTCGATCAGCACCTCAGTGACATCACCCTTGCTACGCAAGGGGAAGACTGTGGTGTAACGCGAGTAGTCGTCAACCACCAGTAGGAAGTAGCACTCGTGACCGAGTCCACGGACGCGGGCAGGGCCCCACACGTCCATGTGAAGCGTCTGCAACGGAGCCTCTGTCGGAGGAAACTGGGAGGAGTGAGGGGTAGCACGCTGGCGCCCCTCAACGCAAGGGACACAGGCAGGGCCAGGGCCCTGAGGAAGGGGAGGGAGGGACCGGGGGAGACCAGACACAAGAAGACGGGAGGCCATGCCTCTGAGCCGAAGCAGAGAGGGGTGGCCAAGGCGGTGGTGCCAGAGGAGAGTCTCGTGAGACAGACGGCGACACGAACAGGGGGCAGACTCAGGACCAGACCTGGACGCCGCAGCAAACGCCTGACCAGACGAAGGGACTCTACCAGAATCAGCACCGGGAGGAGAAGCAGTGGTCAGTGTGTACAGGCTTGACCCTGGCTGACGTGTAAACGTAGCTAGGTGGCGACCTGTGCTAGCCTTTGTGCAGTGTGTCACCCGCTGACGAGCAGGAGTGAACTGGTGGACACCCCCATCCTGTAGGTCAGCACCACTCACCAGGCTCGTAGAGAACGAGGGGAGGTAGAGAACAGTCAGGGTGCCAGAGGGAGCCGCCGGACACGGGAGGACTGTGGAGAAACGAGACAGGACAGGACCCCCAGAGGGGTCAGCCAGGGACACCGCAACCGGCCGACTAAGCGGTGTGAGAGTGGTGCGGTCCCGAAAGAAGGAGCGAGAAGCCCCGGAGTCAAGGGTGAAGGTGAGGGAGGCCGAAGCCGACGTAGTACCTGAGAGCGCAGACTTACCAGTACGTGAGGACGCAGACACACTAGCACCAAGAGCAGCAGCGTCGCAAGCACCTAGGGCAGCAGCCACACCAGTACCTAGAGCAGCAGACTCAATGCCCGGATCGGGCGGGAAACACCGGTAACAGTCACCCTCATCACTAGCAGACACAGTATATATGGCAGCAAGAATAGCATCAAAGTCAAGATCAAAGATAGCTACACCAGCCCTAGACAGCTCTCCCCAGCGGGGGATCTCAGAGGCCTCCGGAAACTGCTGGCGCCAAGCGTCGGTCAAGCGGGCAAAGCAGCGGCGGGCGGTGTCGGTGCCCCCACACTGCTCACCCGCACGGTCGCCGGTGCGAAGGACGTAGGTGCAGGGACCGAACGCCCCACCACGCTGACGCTGGGAGTACCACTCACGGAGCTGCTGAGGGGTGGGGACGTCGCGAGAGCGCTGCTGCTGCTGCTGGTGCTGGCGCTGACTACCTCCAGTGGTGCTCCGCTGGGACGAGCCACTCCGACCACCTCCACCACCGCCACCTCCGCCTCCGCCGCCACCGCCGCCACCGCCACCCTCGCCCCCGCCGCTCCCACCGCCACCACCACCACCACCTCCGCCTCCACCGCCACCACTAGTACCTCCACTCCCGCCACCACCTCCACTGCCACCCCCACTCCCCCTGCCGCCTCCACCGCCTCCGCCACCGCCCCCGCTAGCTCCACCCGCTCCCTTGCCCCCTTTGCCCCTGCCAGGGCGGCGCCTACCGCTGGGGGCAGACGCCGCACCGACCGACTCCAAACCAACGAGGTCGGCCGCAGCAGCAGAGGCGACAGAGGGAAGTAGGGGGGAAGGAGAACACCCCTCAAAGATGGGGGTGCGAGGGTCACCACGAGAGGCCCCTACAGCGACGATACTCTTCTCAGCCGCTAGCAGGGACTTCTCAAGGAGGTCGACAGTGAGGGTGGTGGGACAGACAGAGAGAAACTGGTCCCTAACGGCACGAAGGGACTCAGGGAGACGGGTGACTAGAAAGTAGAGAGTGATGTACATGGGAGGAGGGTTTGCGGCGCGGAACTTAGCAGGAAGCGCAGCGCGGTAGCGAGTGTCACTAGCGCGGAGGTGGGTAATGAGGTCAGCGACTGTGGGAAAGGCAGCGAGGTCAGGGAAGAGGAACGGTAGCATGAGGCGGCTCAGCGTAGCGGAGGAAGGGGAGGAGTTGCGCGCAACTACAGCGTCGTACAAGGCCTGAGCGGTCTTGCACTGACTAAAGTGTGCACGCTCGGAGGAAGGGAGGTGACGACGCACAGCAAGACGTGCAGCAGCATCGCGCGTGGCCCACTTGGAGCGAACAGAGGGGTCAGCATCAGCAGGAGGGGCAGGGACAGCGCCAGAGACAAAGTCAAAGAGAGAAACCTCATCGATCGCATCGCACAGTAAGTACAGCTGCAGGTCCTCGACCCAGACTGCAAAGTCAACGGCGCGACCCTCAGCGTCAAAAGACAGGACACTAGGGGTGGCCATTATAGCAGCTGACAGTCTCACCGGGCGGGAAGAGTCGGGTAGCTCAGGAGTACAGCCACACAGCAGCAAAGCAGCTACGGCGGCCCAGGAGCAGCAGCAGCCCCCACAGGAACAGGAGGCCGACGCCTCAGGCTGCTCGGGCGGCCCGGGCGGCTCGGGCGACTCGGGCGGCTCAGGCGGCTCGGGCGGCTCGGGCGGCTCGGGCGGCTCGGGCAGCGCGGGCGTCTTGCGGGCGACAGCACGGGCGGCTGGGGCGGCTCGCGGGTGGCTCACGGGCGGCTGAGGCGGCTCGCGGGCGGCGTACGGGCTGCTTGCGGGCGGCTGGGGCGGCTGCACGGGCGGCTCGAGGGCGGCGTCGGCGCTCACGAGCGGCGTCGGCGGCGTGAGCGGCTCACGGGCGGCGTCGGCTGCGTCGGCAGCGTCGGCGGCTCACGGGTGACGTCGGCGGCGTCGGCGGTGCACGGGCGGCGTCGGCGTCGTGGGCGGCTCACGGGCGGGCGGCTCACGGGCGGGCGGCTCACGGGCGGCGGCTCACGGGCGGCGGCTCACGGGCGGCGGCGTCACGGGCGGCGGCGCACCAGCGGCGGTTGACGGGCGGCTGCGCTAACGGGCGGCGCTCACGGGCGGTGCTCACGGGCGGCGCTCACGGGCGGCACTCACGGGCGGCGGCGCACAGGCAGGCCGCGGGCGGCGAACGGGCGCTAGGGCGGGCGCCGGGCGCTAGGGCGCTAGGGCGGGCGCTAGGGCGGGCGCTAAGGCAGCCGCTAGGGCGGGCGCTAGGGCGCTAGGGCGGGCGCTAGGGTAGGCGCTAGGGCGCAAGGCGCTAGGGCAGAAAAAAAAAATTCTAAGTGGTGGGCCCTAAGCACAGTTCCCACAGGGGAACCTGCTCTGATTCCATGAGAAGAAACGAACGAGAATGGATAAACTATGAGTGAAGTGAGTACAAATAGCAAACCCTAATTGGGTCGTACCCCCTATGGGATACCCCACTATAGCCTACACAACAGCATAAGTTATATAATGTTCTGACAGTCCTAGCAAGGCGGGGAGGTTGGGCGAGGATGGCTCGGTGATGGATGCGATTGGTGCGGAGGCGACTCGGGGGTGGTTCGGTGCGACGAAATAGGAAGGACAGGTTCGTCGCGTGACCCTCGGGATGGCCTCGCTAACGAGTGCCTCAGTAAGGATTCGGTAAATCCTTACAGATGGATTGCATGATAGGTAGTATATTTTCTGTTTTTTAGCCTGTTGGCGACCAGCACCAGTCTTGGGCAAAAACACATATTTTTGTGGTCATTACCATGAGTTCCAGTCTTGGAACTATTGACATGAGAATGTCCTTCCACTATATGAACCACACCCACATGCTTTCATGCTACGGCATAGACAACTCGTTGAAATAAAGAAAAAGCTTCTTGACATTCCGGTAAACACTACCCACTGCTACAGTATTCATTACCTATCACTCATGCTGATCCATCTTCACGTTGGTGTCGTCCGTCCATCATGAGTTGCTGAGTCCTCTAAACCTTCTCTAGATGCCCTTCCAGCGGCCGAAAGGCCATCTATGTTCAAAGAGTCATCGCCAAATACTCTCTGCTCCCTGCTGCTTGCTGAGTCTTTGACTGAGTCCACATTGGTGTGTGCTGGCGAGTCAGTTACAGAACTCCCAGAATCACCCACAGCCTTAGCTGGATGTGGTTCTTCCTTAATGGAGTCCCCAAGGAAAGGAGGTGCATCAACCCCAGCCGCTGGATCAGTATCAGCTGGCGAATCAACGCGTGCAAATGCATCAGTAGCAGTTTGATCAACGGTTCCAGCTTGACAGACAGCAAATGGACTCAGTTGTTCAATGCCCGCTGAATTATTGTCCCGTGTAGTGTTGCTGTGCTCTCTTCTGTCATCAACAGCTTGGTCATCAGATAGAGAGGAGTGTGATGACGTGGCATCGACAACACAGCAGGTAAACTTTTCTGTACTGCCCGAAAAAGGTTGCGGTTGCTGCTCGACCTGCTGTTTGTCCTTGTCGCGATGCTGCTGGTGACTCAGCGGGGGAACGCTGACGTGGCGCACTGCTGAGTTGCTGACGTGGCGGAACGGCCCGCCACGAAAGGTGAGCTCTGCTGCCAATGCTTCTGCCGCGGTTGCTGTCTGCGTGCCCTGCTGCGTGCACGCGTAACCAGCATCATTACATGTTACCGCTCTCGCACGCCCTCCTTGAATGTACGCCGTGCCGCCATGAACACGACTCGCTGACCCGTCCTCCTCAGCATCTGTACCGCTCTGCACCGCATGCGCCGATGATTGCTGCGGATGGACATGCTGTGAAAGCGCTGGCAGCGGATGGGTGTTCCCTACCCTGTGAAGCACCCCGCCAGCTGTCGCAGCGTCACTGGTTGAGTGGAGGCCGAGGGGCTGATGCGGCATGGCATGGTGCACGGGGGAATGCACGGCGTGGATGTGCGGAATCGTGTGGTACGCCTCGCCTGCAGTCACATGAATGCCATGCTCTCGAGCGCTGCTGCTGCTGCTGCTGCTGTTGCTATTGCGATGGCCCGCGGCATGGCCCATACCGTGGTGCACGGGGGGTTGCACGGCGGGTTGCACGAGGGGTTGCACAGAGGGTTGCACAGGGGAGTGTACGGCGTGGACGCGCTGTGCATCGCTTGAAGGCAGGCACAGCGGCAGCAGCTGAGAGGGCGGTTGAGAGGGCTGTTGGGAGGGCAGCTGGGAAGAGGCGTGGTGCACGGGGGAGTGCACGGCGTGCAGGTGCTGTATTGTGTGGTATGCCTCGCCTGCTGTCACGGCAGAGTGGTGCGTGGAGCCCTCTGGCACGGGAATGTCCAGGATGACTGGCCGCCACCAGTACAGGGGGTACCTGGTGAGGGGGGGGTGGAAGGAGTGGGAAGGAGTGAGGAATGGTTGGAAGGTAAGTGAACTGGAAGAGGCACAGGTGGGTGAGAGAGCACAGAGAGTGGTGTGTGGAGCCCTCTGGCACGGGAATGTCGAGGATGACTGGCCGCCACCAGTACAGGGGGTACCTGGTGAGAAAGGGTAGGATAGGAATGGGGAAAGAGCAGGGAAGAGGCACAGGTGGGTGAGTGAGCACAGGGAGTGATGTGTGGAGCCCTCTGGCACGGGAATGTCGAGGATGATTGGCCGCCACCAGTACAGAGGGTACCTGGCGGTGAGGTTGGGGGTGGGGGTGAGGGTGAGTAAAGGTGGAGTGGAAGGCGGGAGGGGAGGTTACAGGGTCGAAGAAAAGGACCAGGAGAGAGAAGCAAGGACTCGGCAGCAAGGCTGGAAATAAAAAACAATAGCGTGGTGGAGATACGGGAAAACCAACGCATGAGGATGAGAAATGAGATGAAGAGGGAGAAAGTAAAGAAGCCGTGTGTTGGCTTACTGTCGGGCGATATTGTTGACAAAGAGAGCGACAGTGAGCATGATACACACTCCCAGCAGCACGGGAGTGAGCACAAAGAAGCCGTGGCAGCGCAGAGAGGGAGGCGACATGACAGCAATGAGTGCTGAAGCACCCCCAGGGGGATGGACGATACGCAGCAGCTGCATGGCTGGGAGGTGGAAGGGTGGGGAGGGGAAGGGGAAGGGGGGAGTGTTATGGGGGGGATGGGATGGGCGAGATCAGGAATAAAACGTGGAGTTATACAGCTGCAGAGAGAGTGAAAACAATCCTTCTAACGCGCCCAAAAGAACGCGTGAAGTTACACAGCTGGCTGCACAAATAGTGAAAAATGAAACCACGGACGTACCCACTATGGATAAGGAAACCGCAAGACCGCACTGTAGCCACAGCCACGACGTATTCGGAAACGCGAGCCCGCCTATAGCGAAGATCTCCGCTATAAGCGCGCCGATCACCGCTGAAACGGCACTCCCGAGGACCACATTCCGGGGCTGCGAGAGAGGCGAGTCAATGGTTCCGAAGATGAGCACCGCTGTGGCGCCAAACGAGCCAATCATAAACGACGCTTGCTGCTGCTGGCCGGTTTCAGTTGTGCTGCTGCTAGTGCTGGTCGGGTAGGGGCTCAGGGTCCGCTGCATGCTCGTGTTGAACGCGAGAAACGCGCACAGGGCTATGCCTGCAAACATTGAGGGAGGAAGTGTGGGGGGGAAGGGGGGCGGAAGATGAAAGGGCGAGTCGATGGTTCCGAAGATGAGCACACCGCTGTGGCGCCAAACGAGCCAATCATAAACGACGGAAGAAAAGGGGGGTAGGCGGGAGGGGGTTGATGGGAGTATGTAAAGGAGGTGGGTAGAAATTTGTGGGAAGGGAGTATGGAAGTGAGAGAGGATGATCTTCCATAGGCAACAGCAGCCAGACATTATGAATCAATGCATGCACCAACGCTGGTTTGAAGGCAAAGGGGCTCAACACCAGTAACTGAAGCCTTGCTTGAAATGACTAACTAACCTTGTGAGAGCCAGTGAAAGAAAAAAGGGAACGAGGCGCGCACCAATAAACGAGGCGATGAAGGACCAGAAGACGACGATAAAGCTCGGGTACGCCGGAAAAAGACCCTCCCCGATTCCGCGGAACTTCCGAAAGTACCCCCAGAGCCACCTTGGCGGAAGCACAAACGCGCCCGCCTGCCAGCTCCGAGGCAGGCGCAGGCGCGCCCCGGCCCCGCTGCCCTTTCCGCCGAAGCCTCCGCGTTCATTCGCATCATTCCGCGGGGAACTTTTCGGGGGAAGCTCGCAGCCTTGCTGGTCTGGCGAAATTGGTAACCCGTTTCCATATACCCGGTCGCAAAGCTCCGCCAATTCACCAGAGCCATCGCGTAACCCGCACGGGGACGACTCAACACCGTTGACGGGGAGCCTTATATCGAGAACAGCCTCAGTGCCATCACATCGACCCGTCGTGGAAGAACCTACTCCGATAACGTCAGCAGCAGACGTGTCCGGCTGCTGACGGCCGGTCAGACTCGAAGATTCCATCTCAGAGGTCCTTATCCTTAATCCGTCCTAGACTTTAGTCCTAGTCCTGCTAGGCCAGTATCAAAAGAGTTACTGATGCAGTCGAACCGAAGCTCGGCGGAGACGGGGAAACCTCTGGAGAGGAATGAGCGGCGGAGAGCGTGAAGCTAACAGAAGAACCATGGAGCGAGGTCCTTCATGAAGGGAGACGAGGAGGATCGGTCTAGACTCGTAATGTCATGATAGGAGTCGCTGGAGGCAGGAGGACTGCTCCTACAACAACTGCTCGGAAACTGAACGACGAAGTTGAAAGTGAAGAGGAGGAAAAGTCTAGACTCGTGAGGCCCCGACAGGAGTCGATGGATCGGTCTAAACTCCAGGCTGGGGGAAGGAGGACAACTCCTAGAATAATTCCTCAGAGCACTGTTCCGGTATACAGGATTGAAGCCGAATTAGCCTGGCATCGGGCAGTGTCGTCAACCGGTGGCTTGTAGGAACGCGAAAGGCCGGCGTTTGATCAGGGGTGACCGGGACACGAAAACGATCGCGATTCGCGAAACAGTGCGTCAGTGGCGGTGGCTGTGGATTAGGTCGAGTCAACCAGTAGTGATTCGGGAAGTAGTGACGGCAGGGGTGATGCAGGCGCAATCAGTCCCTCCGACAAAGACGGTAGTACGAAGCTGCCTCCAGAAGTTTCTACGTGAAACGCTGAATGCTCGGGTTCTCCGACGCTCTCTGTCAGACAAATTAGGACTTCGGAAGGCAGAGTCTGAGTTGTTTCTGTCGCGTTAGGCTACGGAGCGAGCAAGGTGCCTTTCAGCCGACGCCGACGAGAGCAAGATTGGGATAAGCAGCAGCAATGGCTGCTCTGGAAACGTCGCACGCGGGAGCTGTGGAACTGGTGAGCGCGATACGACAACATCGAGAGGCAGCCATGGGGAAAAATTGATGTTACTACTGATGAGACTGAACTGTAGGGAGGGCAAGAGGAGATGAAGTAGGAGAGGGATTTCCCTTTTGTCACATGTATGCCCATTCCGTAATGCCTAAGAACACTGTTTGTTAGCGTGATTGTTCGTTTTGATTGTTAGCGTGATTGTTTCCAATAAGAACACAAATGGATGTAGCTGGTTTGCGTGCTTGTTTTTGACACTATACAACTATTTCTGGGCAGAAGATGAGACTTCTGGGCAGGGATGGCACTTGATGTTCTTGATCTTTTCAAACTGCTGAAAGGACACCGGGGGGGAGTAGAGCGACTTCCCAATCACGTGAGGAGGCTCGAAATTATCCAGGCTCAGAAATGAGCAGACTGCGGCCCTTCGTTGTAGCCCGAGCCAAGTCACTCAAACGTGTATTTGGCTCTTCCTGACTGAAACAGACACGCTGTCGAGCACACGTGGAAAGGAGGTTGAGATGGACTCGCGGCACTCATCGATAATAGCGAACCCACCTTGGATAAGTTCATTGAAAATCGATAGTGTTTCATTCTTCTGTCCATTGACATGACAGACGTTGAATTGGAGCTCACTGTAACGCACTTACAGAGTCCACGTGGCGCTACCTGACATCCAATCAACGGCCAACTAACCACGTAGTGGATGAGAATCACATGCTGTGGGAAGGGAAGGAAAGCTGGGTGCGACTCGCCTTTGGAAGGTTGATTGAGAAATAGCCAGTCTGGTCGTGAGGCAGGCAGTTTGACCTAAATTCTGCCAACCTTACCATAGGAAGAAAGAAAACAGTAGCTGCTGGTAGTGGGGCCGGTTCGTCCAGTATCATAGCAATATTAAATTGTGGTTGTCGAAAACCGCTGCTGGTTTGCCGCGTCAGCGTGCCAACTCAGGGATTGCCTTTCCGGCGTCGCACCTATGGCTCTATCTACAGTAGCCACTGTCTCTTTCGCTGGCTCGTTGAGCCAGTCACAAGCAGCCAATGGGCAGCTTTCATCCGGAACCAACCTATTAGCTCCACAGCTGCTCATGTTAAATTATCCGTGCTCACGAGACGAACCCGCGAACCGGCGCTCAGTCGCGGTGAAGGCGCTCTTCGGCTGGGGCAAGCCCAAGGTTCGTAATGACCGTTCATTCTGCTGCACGACCTAAATCTGGGCGTTCCTTAAGAATCTGGCAAATCCCATGCACTTTGATTCCATGTGCTCGACGCTCTGCATATGCCAGGGTCCCTAATTTTTCTTTCCATCGATTTTCGTTTACGCTCTCCTGATTCTGAACATTTAATCATGTGCATTCTTCCCGAGAAATCAATCAATGCATTTTGTTAAGCAAATCAACCTGAATTCGACGATTCTGTAAGTGCATTCTGCCGAATTTGACTGTTCGAAATCCACCATCTTTGCCTCCTCCTGTCCCTGCCTGTCGCTTGCAGGCCGACCCGCCGTCCAAGTCTCCCCCGAAAAAGTCACCTCCGGCTAAGGGAAAGGTGTCCAGAGCCTCGTGTAGCACCTGCAGGGGCACGGGCGGTGTGGATTGCCCCGTCTGCAAGGTAATGCACTGTTAATACATCGCTAATCCCGCAAGTCATAGAGACGGGAGGCTTATCTTTCCCCATTTGCAAGGTAATCCACTTCTGAGACGTTAACCTTGGAGAACATGATAGGTGCAGTGAGATGACGCATCTAAATGCGCCTACCTTTTGTATTCTGAGACGTCAACGTGTCGTGGTTTGATTTGTCGGATTCCTATCTTCTGTTCGTGCCTCTTTTCAATGCAATGTCCTGTCTAAATTCTTCACATTTCTTCGCTCCGGTATGGTTGTCCTGTAAGTTGTGAAGCTATTCTCCCGTTTGGTGGTCGCATGATTTGCAGGGGACGGGGAAGAGCAAGACCAAGGGAAACATGCTGGAGAGATGGAAGTAAGTCAGCATAGCATACGCGTTTAGAGACGTCTCAAGACTTGTTATGATTCACAGGGGACGGGGAAGAGCAAGACCAATGGCAATATTTTGGAGAGATGGAAGTGAGCCAGAATTGCATATGCGCTGTGATCTCCTATCCTTTCCCCCATCTTCCCTGTCTGTCCCCTTCCTCTTGCCCCCAAAACCTTCCCTCCTCCCTCCTTTCAAACCCTCTTCCCCCACACCCTCTTGCCCCGTACACCCCCCCCTTCCCTCTACCTCCTCTTTCCTTCCCCCGTTGCCACATGTCTATAATATTGTAACCTGATACTGTATATAATCAGACATATCCACTCCTCAACGCTGATGTGTCACCGCTTCTCACCACCATCTCTCTGTCCATGCACATTGGTTGCTGCAGGTGCTACAAGTGCCAGGGGTTCGGCCTGGTTGGCTGCCCCACCTGCGGGTCAGGAGGGCTCACCCCAGAGCAACGGGGAGAACGATAAGTGTGGAGGACGGGTGTAGTTTTGTCATATTGTTGAAGTGCAATAGTCGCTACTGTACATGTATTAGAGTTTCCTCCTGGTTGGCTGCCCCAATTGCGGGTTAAGAGGGCTCATCCTGGAGCAAGTGCCAGGATTCCACCTTGGTTGGTTGCCTGCTCTCCAGTTCTGAGCAACGAAAGTGAAGCTGAGATTTCTGTTCTGAAGGTGGGGGGGACACAACAGATGGCTTATCGTGTATTTGAGTCCCATCCATCCCGTCCCACATGACATTCTATGAAGCCTGCAATGCATATGCATGGCATTTTTTATTATAATTGATCGAATTACCGTAAGTGTTGGTGTTGGTACTTCAACCCCACATCAGATCACAGAGGAAGAAGTACCGTAAGTGGAATTCAGGACAGGATGACAGGTTTGTTAGTAGCACCGTGTAATAGAGTGGTACACAAAAGAGCACTGACGTTTGCAGTTTCAGTGAATGAGCAGGCTATTCTGTCTCGTCTACTATGGTATGGATTTTCCAGGTAAAACACGTGATTGTACCTACAAAAACTCACCACGTTTGACTAGGTGTGGGAAGAAATAAGAGCATTCCGTCCAGCCAGATGGTTGTTACGGGGTGAAAACTGGATTATACCACTGATGCGAGTGCAGGCAGCAGTGGGGTTCATCGAATAAATAAATGAATAGATACAATACAACATGACTAAAGAGTTTTCACAAGTGCATCAATACCAGTTACCATCTGGTTTCTTGGGCAACCAGCCTCTGTCATAGCTGTTGACAAACTGCCAGTGATGAGTGCCTGCATCAGGTGGGCGCATCAGGAAAACAACAGGAGGGAAAAAGCTCTGACAAGGGACACATTATGCAAGGTGAGAAACCAGGGATGGGATGGGGTACCGGTACTGCTGGGCATGCAAAGAGCTGACTTTTGAGTCGACTCAAAGAAGACAGCAGCATAAAAACAGTAGGGAAAATACTGAAGGTTTGACAAGGGACACACAGTTCAAGGTGAGAAACCAGGGATGGGGTACCAGTACCGGTACTGCTGCTGGGCATGAAAAGAGGGAAGATTCAAGAAGAGCGAGGAGATCACTCACAGCCGGTGCGATTGTGAGAAGGAAAATCCAGAAGGAAAGGAGCACAACAAGCGCACTGACAAGAGCACTGATAAGAGCACGTACCAGTGGTGTTGAGTTTCCAGGACCAGAAGAACCAGCCGGCCTTGGCGTGGCTGAATGCTTTCATCTGTCCGAGAGAGAAGTTGGCCTGCTGCTCTGACGTCGCACTGTTGCCCATCGCATTGCAGAACTCCCCGACCAGCAAGTTCCGCCCCACCTTCTGCACCCGGCGTGATGGGACATAGCACAATGTTTAGACAACGCAACGCAATGTGGCATGTGCCATGTGGTGTGTGGAAATCAGGTGAGGTGTTGAGAACGTGGAGAAACTGCAAGGGAACCCGGGCATTACTAAGATGGCTCAAAATGGGGAAGGGAAAAACAGGGATCAAAATGGGGAAGGGAAAAACAGGGATCAAAATGGGGAAGGGAAAAACAGGGATCATATGCAACCCACCCGTTGAAAGGCGATAATGTTGTCCTTTCGGGTCGTGTGCGCGTACTCGATCTCCCACTCGACGCCTTGGGAGCTGAAGAAGTTGCCGAAGACCTCATAGATGTGCTGCTCCAGGAGCACGTTGTTGTGCCACGCGCCGCTTCAGAGCCATGCCAGTACTCCCCGACCCACCTGTAGGAAGTTCCCTTTTCATTGTTTTGTTTTGCTTGGTGGAAGCAAGGGAAAACCGCGGTCCATACTGGGCAACCCACCTGTTGAAACGCGATGATGTTGTCCTTTCGGGTCGTGTGCGCGTATTCAATCTCCCAGTCGACGCCTTGGGAGCTGAAGAAGTTGCCAAAGACCTCGTAGATATGCTGCTCCAGGATCACGTTGTTGTGCCACGCGCCACTTCAGAGGCGTGCCAGTATGTGTCGTGTGTCGTTCTCCAGACCCACCCTTAGGAAGTTCCCTTTTCTTGTTTCGTTTTGTTTCCTGGAAGCAAGGGAAAACCCTTGGTCCATACAGGGCAACCCACCTGCTGAAACGCGATGATGTTCTCCTTCCTTGTGGTGTGCGCGTACTCGATTTCCCAGTCAACACCTTTGGAGCTGAAGAAGTTGCCAAAGACCTCGTAGATGTGCTGCTCCAGGATCACGTTGTTGTGCCACGCGTCGCTCATGTGCCACATCACGTCGCCAAAGTTGCTGCCCACGCGGCCCTCCATGGCCACGAAGCAGCACAGGCAGCGCGCGCGGATGGCGTTGAAGGCCGCCGAGTAGTACCCCCGCATGTCCTCCAGATCCACCCCCGCGTACCCGTTGGCCCCCGGCACCACCGGCTCGTTCAGCAGCCCCATGCCCAGCCACATAGGGTCGGTGCCGTACCTGCGAGGTTTGGGCCGTTCGGGGAGGCAGAAAGAGGGAATCAAGAGGCGAGAATTGGTGAAGAATCAGGCGAGGAAGGCTCTCCAAACCTCACGGCTTTCAGGTGCGGGATTGTAGACATCTGGGGGAGGGGGGTGGGGAAAAGGGAGCAGCACAGGCAGCGCGCGCGGATGGTGTTGAAGGCCGCCAAGTAGTACCCCCGCATGTCCTCCAGATCCACCCCCGCGTACCCATTGGCTCCGGGGACTACTGGCTCGTTCAGCAGCCCCATGCCCAGCCACACAGGGTCGGCGCCGTACCTGAGGTTCGGAAGCCAGGAGCAAGAAGCAGTTGGAGCGAGTGAGAATCGAAGAAACGATCGAGAGACCCTAATAGCCTATCAGATTTCATGGAAATAACCCACACAACAAAAGCAAGCAAGTAGTTACCCCCACCTGTCAGCAAGCCAAGGGACAAAGTCGAGGGTGCGGTTGACATTCTCAGGTGACTTTTGAGTCGACTCAAATGGTAGCCTCACCTGTCAGCAAGCCAGGTGACGAAGTCAAGCGTGCGGTTGACATCCTCCCCTCGCCAGCGAACAAGCCCATCCCTCGCATTTCCCTTTTGAGGCGACTCAAGAGGTAGCCTCACTTGTCAGCGAGCCAAGTGACAAAGTCGAGGGTGCGGTTGACATTCTCAGGTGACTTTTGAGTCGACTCAAATGGTAGCCTCACCTCTCAGCAAGCCAGGTGACGAAGTCAAGCGTGCGGTTGACATCCTCCCCTCGCCAGCGAACAAGCCCATCCCTCGCATTTCCCTTTTGAGGCGACTCAAGAGGTAGCCTCACTTGTCAGCGAGCCAAGTGACAAAGTCGAGCGTGCGGTTGACATTCTCAGGTGACTTTTGAGTCGACTCAAATGGTAGCCTCACCTGTCAGAAAGCCAAGTGACAAAGTCGAGCGTGCGGTTGATATTCGCCCCTCGCCAGCGGATCAGCCCATCCCGCGCATTCCCCTTGCCTGCCTGTGACCCCGGCGCCACATGCACGCTGAACCAAATCCTCACTCCATACTTCCTCCCCATCTCAAACGCCCAGTCTAGATATGCTGCTGCGCCGGGCACAAAGGGGAACTCTGGGGTGGCGTCAAGAGCAATCCAGTAGGGCAAAGGGATGCGGACCGTGTTGATCCCCAGTTCTTGCATTTTTGCCCAGTCTGCTTCAGTCATGAAGTTTCGGCGAATGTTCTCGTAGAGGGTTGGCGCTGCGGCACCGGCTGTGTAGGCTGCCTGAAAATCCCCCTCCACCCGCCACAGCTGGGAGCGGGGAGGTGGAGGTGGAGGGGGGGGGGGAGTGGGAGAGTGGGGAGAAGGGGGGTGAGAAGCACGTAGAGGGTTGGTGCTGCTCTGCCGGCTGTGTAGGCTGCCTGAAAATCCCCCTCCACCCGCCACAGCTGGGAGCGGGGAGGTGGAGGTGGAGGGGGGGGGGGGGGGGGGGGGGGGGAGTGGGAGAGTGGGGAGAAGGGGGGTGAGAAGCACGTAGAGGGTTGGTGCTGCTGCACCGGCTGTAAAATCCGCCTGAAAATCGCCCTCCACCCGCCACAACTGGGAGCGGGAGAGGAGGGGAGAGAGAAAGGTCAAGAGGGAAATGGGGGAGAGAAACGAATTGGACTTGGAGAAGGGTGGTTGCCAGAAAGCGAGGGTCGGTGTGTAGGCTCCACTAAGCTAAAAGGGAAGCGGGAGGAAAGGAGGGGGAAGGAGGCGCGAGGAAGAAGGAAGCACTCACCACAGGCGCGCGCGTGGACCAAGGCGCGCGCGTGGACCAAGGCGCGCGTGTGGACCAAGGCGCGTGCGGTGAGGTCAAAAGCAGCAGCGCTGGTCCAGATGGCGTTGTTGCTAAGGGTTTGTTGGAGGTCGGTGGTAAGAGAGCCGTCGAGGTGCGCTTGGAGGAAGAGGCCACGTGTAAAAATATTATTTTTGAAAAAAGAGACGTCTCAACAATAATCTTTTTACATGTGGGAAAAAGGGAAGGAAAGAAGGAAGGAGCGAGGAGTTCCCAAGCATGCACTCACCACAGTGAGGTCGAATGCAGCAGCGCTGGTCCAGATGGCGTCGTTGGTAAGGGAGTGCTGGAGGTCCGCAGTGAGGGAGCCGTCAGGGTTGGCTCGGAGAAAGAAGCCGTTGGGAGCACGCAGCACCATGCGCACACTGCTGCCGCTCTGCTCCGTTGATGCGTTAAGCGGCGTGTTGAAGATGAACAGCTCAAAGTTGCTCGCTGCGCCCTGAGAGGGAAGAGGGGGGAAGGGGGAAGGGGGAAAAGGGGGAAGGGGTGAAGGGGGAAAGGGGTGAAGGGGGAAGGAATGGGGGGAATTGAGGGAGAGGAGTTGAGTGGCGTGCCGACGATGAAGAGCTCAAAGTTGCTCGCTGTGCCCTGAGAGGGAAGAGGGCGAAAGGATGGTGCAAATAATGCCTAGGGGGAAACCATAGTTGCTTGCATGCATGATGATTCACTTAAGGCTTCAGCCAGGTGATTCACTTAACTTTAGTGATTCGGTCAGTATGACTAGTGGTATATGAGCTTCAGACAAAATACCTGACCTTCTTTCTGGCACATCACAGACCATACCATAATACACTGTACCATACCACACCGCTGTGTACCTCGGGCTTTGTGGACTGCACCGAGACGTATTTTGAGTTGCTTCGCACAGCCCAGTACTGCAGCCACTGCACGGATATCTGATGAGGCAAGTAAAGAGGGGGGGGCAGAAACACAGGGAAGACGTTCAGGGCCGTCAAAGGTCACAACCCAGTACTGCAGCCACGGCATGGATATCTGGTGAGGCAAGTGTGGTGGGGAGAGCAGAACGTTTTTTGAGAATTCTCAAAAGGTCACGACGCAGTACTGCAGCCAGTGCAGAGATATATGATGAACCAAGTGCAGAGAGAAGAGCAAACCGGGTAGCAGGTTATATGAATATAACATGACATAACCTTGTTGAATAATTGTTTTTCAGTTCAACACGGGAGATTTGACCAGCCAGAACCTACAGGGAGACGAGACGGCAGTGCCTTACTCTGCGAGTGTTGGGGGAAGCATTTTCAACAGTGGTGAGGTGGAGGTAGGTGTCCTTGGTTGTGATTGAGTCGTTGCACCTCATCTGCTCGCTCACAGCACAACAATGAGGGTGCACGGGAAAAGAGCGCATGGGTTGGTGCACGAGTGTTGGCATTCTCAACGGTGGTGAGGTGTAGGTAGGTAGGTGTCCTTGCTAGTAAGTGAGTCGTTGCACCTCATCTGCTAGACGGGAGAGGTGAGAGGCGAGAGGAGAGAGGTGAGAGGCGAGAGGAGAGAGGTGAGAGGCGAGAGGAGAGAGGTGAGAGGCGAGAGGAGAGAGATGAGAGGCGAGAGGGCGTGCACCTGGGGAAAGCGCAACAATGAAACACCAAAGAACGGTGGTGAGGTGGAGGCGGGTGTGCATGGTGAGCGAATCGTTGCACCTCATTTGCTTGAGGAGAGAGGGGTGAGAGGCCAGAAGTGAGAGGCGAGAGGGCGTGCAATAGGGAAAAGCGCAACAATGAAACACCAAAGAACGGTGGTGAGGTGGAGGCGGGTGTGCATGGTGAGCGAAATGTTGCACCTCATTTGCTTGAGGAGAGAGGGGTGAGAGGCCAGAAGTGAGAGGCGAGAGGGCGTGCAATAGGGAAAAGCGCAAGAATGAAACACCAGAGAATGGAGGTGAGGTGGAGGTGGGTGTGCTTGGTGTGCGAATCGCAGTACCTCATCTGGTGTGGTGTGATGCAGTGCAGTGCAGTGCACTTACGATTGTGCCACCCCCACCAGGTGCAGTGACGTATTTTCCCGTTACCACTGATCGCAAGGTGAACTGCAACGACAGAAGACAGAAGCCAGAAAACATAAATGAACACAAAAGAAGAAAAAATCAGGAAAAGCCCCCCAGACAAAATTAACAAAGCCATGCACATAGCTATGGACTTCATACCTAGAATGAAACAAGTGAAGTGAGACTGTCAATATGTCAGAAGGACTTCTAAATTCTCCCTAGATTGCACCATACAATGTATTATAAGATGACACAGTCACACCTCACACATTCTCCTCCCCATCTACTCCTCCCCCTCCCCCTGTCCACTCACCCGCGTGCCGTCACCGTAGCCAGCAAACTTGAACACATCGCGGTTCATCCACGGCTCAGTCATGAGCCACGACCCCAGATTTGTCCTTCCTTCCCCCGTTTCCCCCTTTCTCCCCTTTATCCCGCACTCACCCGAGTGCCATCACCATAGCCAGCAAACTTGAACACGTCGCGGTTCATCCACGGTTCAGTCATGAGCCACGACCCCAGATTCGCCCCTCGGATCGCCGGCACCTCCATCACCTCCCGCACGTCATACCGCTCCCAGTCGCCCGCGCGCTTCCACCGGAACTGCGGGTTGCTCTTGCTGCCGTCCTGAGTGACAAAATACCCATCGGAGGACCGGAACGCGACGTAGGCTGTTCTCGGGATGTATTTTATGGTGAAGACGGTGCGCGGGTTGGACGTGTTTCGGGTCGTTCTGAGGTAGCCGAACGCGCCCTTGGCCTTGGCTAGATACGTGTTGCTGGGGGTCAGAAACTTGATCTGGTTGGGATGGGCGAAGGGGGATGAAACAAAATGGAAGGTGGTCTGGTCGGCACCTCCATCACCTCCATCACCTCCTGCGCATCACATCATACCGCTCTGTGAATTTTACTTCTATAAATTCTCGAAAGTAAATTTCACATAGCGAAGGGGGATGAAACAAAATGGAAGATGGTCTGGTCGGCACCTCCATCACCTCCTGCACATCACATCATACCACTCCCACTCGCCCGCACCTTCCACTTGAACTGCGGGTTGTTCTTGCCGTCTTGGGAGACGAAATACCCGTCGGAGGAGCGGAACACGACGTAGGCAACTTCTGAGGCGCCGCAAAGGGGTTCAACCGGACCAGAACCGCGGGTTGTTCTTCTTCCCGTCATGGGAGACGAAGAACCCATCGGAGGAGCGAAACGCGACGTGGGCCGTTCCCGGGATGTATTTGATGGTGAAAACGGCCCACGGGTTGGATGCGTTTCGGGTTGTTCTGAGGTAGCCGGACGCGCCCCTGGTCAAGTAGACTCTAAAGATGACAAGGGAACTCAATGATGTGTTCAAGACTCTGATGACAGTGAGCGCTTGTGACGGCTCTGCTTTTGAGTCGACTCAAAAGCAGACTCATTACACGCGGTTTTGAGTCGACTCAAAAGCAAGCTCATTACACGCGGTTTTGAGTCGACTCGAAAGCAGACTCATTACACGCGGTTTTGAGTCGACTCAAAACCAGGGTCAGGTAGCCGAACGCGTCCCTGGTCAGGTAGACTCTAAAGATGACAAGGGAACTCAATTATGTGTTCAAGACTCTGATGACAGTGAGCGGCTTGCGACGGCTCTAGCATGGCGGTGGTCCGGCCTATGATGCACGGGATAAAAGTGTTGTTTTGAGACGTCTCAAAACAACACTTCATCGCATGGCGGTGGCCCGGCCTGTAATGCACGGGATAAAAGTGTTGTTTTGAGACGTCTCAAAGCAACACTTTTATCGAATGGCGGTGGCCCGGCCTGTAATGCACGGATCCCCTCCCATAAGGCTCCAGCTGCTGCTTTCACCCAGGTACTTAAGGGTCCACACTCTCTGAAACCCCCAGCCTGTGCGTGCGTACCTGTGTGTTGGAGCTATACTCTGATGATCTGATCACAGTGAGCGCCTGGGACGGCTCCGGCATGGCGGTGACCCGACCTGCAATGCGCCCCTCCCTCCCACTTCGCCCTATGTGCTTTCGCCCCTTGTGTGCCCTTGGGGCGATTGCAACAACCCGGCCCTACCTCTGTGTTGGAGACTCTGATCACAGTGAGCGCCTGGGACGGCTCCGCTCCGGCATGGCAGTGATACGTGGGAGAGTTCTTAAAAGGAGAACAAGCACTTCATAAGAACCGGGCTCTACCTGTGTGTTGGAGACTCTGATCACAGTGAGCGCTTGGGACGGCTCTGGCATGGCGGTGACTCGGCCTGCAATCCGCCCCTCCCACTTCGCCCCATTCGCTGCGGTCCAGAAGGTACCCCACCGCTTGGATCGTATCATCACCTGCAGCAGGGGAAGCAAGGGGTTTCATTTTTACGTAAAGTGGTGAAGAGTGAAGGAGATTTGCTGATTTTTGAGTCGATAAAAAGATTTGTCGGCTTCCATTCCATTCCACCCCTAAATTGATTCTTCTTCACCCACCCTCCCACTGTGTGCCAGCTGGCTGCTGAGCCACGTCAACATCATTTTGGGATCATGCCCCCCCATAGTCATATCACACCCATGCCCACCCACACTCGTTCGTACCCATGTATAAATAACTTCCCCATAGTAACCTCCTTTCCCCCTCTTCCCCCCCCTTCTAGACCCCCTTCCAGCTCAAGATAGCCCCGTGTGCCATGCCAGCTGGCTACTGATCCACGTGGACGTCATCTTGGGATCATACAACCCCATATCCACACCCATACCCACTCACTCACACTCGTACCAATGCATGACCACCGCCCCACTCCCCCCTCCCCCCTCCTTCCCCCTTACCTTTCTAGACTCCCTACACTCACCCTAGCCCCGTGCGCCAGCTGGCTGCTGATCCACGTGGACGTCATCTTGGGGGTGCCACGTGGGATGACGGGAGCAGCATTGGAGCAGCACTGCCCCTCGCATCTTGGCCCAGGAACGGAACTCGGACTCAAAAAGGGACTCGAAGCCTGTGGCGACCGCCTTGGGTGGTGCAGCCTGCTGAATGCGAGATTATGGGCAGCATGAAAAGCCCAGATAGCTTCTATCTCGGACTGGGGTTCATCAGCTATGGGCTTCACCCATGCACGTGTCTTCCTCATCTTCCTGTCCTGCAGCCCAGAGGACTTCCCATGCACGTGTCTGAAACGGCTTCTACTGCCACTCCACTCATGAGCCCTTCCCAATCGTGAGCTTGTTGCTTGTCCCGTCGCTTGTCCCGTCTCTTGTCCTCTCTCTTGTCCCCGTGGATCAGGGTCACAGTTCTTGTTTTGAGTTCCCAAGCAGAGGCTCTCCAGCCATGGATCAGTTGTGCCGTCGTTCCTCGTCTCTCGGTTCTTTGAGTTCTGGTGGGTAAAGCTCGGTTTGGAGGGGTCCGGATAGAGAGTTCTCGACTCAAGATCTCTTGAGCTGTCTGTGAAAGCGGTCGGGTTGGCATTGGCGTGTTGCGAGGGGGTCCGTGGAAGCCCAATGGTAGCAGAGGAGGAGGCGATGACGAGAGCCGCGATTGTAAAAGTCAGCCTGCGATGGAGTGCGGGGCGGCAGAAGGGTGCGGGGCGGGAGAAGGGTGCGGGGAGGGTTATGTAAAGAAAACAAGGAGAGAGAGTCGATAGAAGTGACAGCCACAATGATAGCAGAGGAGGCGATGATGAGAGTTGCGATTGTATAAGTCAACCTGTGATGGAGTGCAGGGCAGGAGTAGGGTGCGGGGAGGGTTAGGTAAAGAAAACAAGGAGAGGGAGTTGATCGATAGAAGCGACAGCCACAATGGTAGCACATGAGGCGATGACGTGAGCAGCGACTGCAAAAGTCAGGCTGTGATGGGATGGAGGAAAGGGTGAGCGAAGGTTATGTGCGGAAACTAAGGAGAAGGAGGGCGTTGACGGGAGCCTCAAGAAAGCAGAGGTAATGTTGTGATTTCTCTGTTAATTAAAAAATGAAGTGAGGTGAGATTGTTACAGAGAGATGGGTGTGAGAACTGGTGATCGGAGGGGTATGAAAGATAAGGAAGGATTGCAGAGGGCGTGGGTGGAGGGTAGGTGGACAGGGAAAGCCCTGTGAGAGCTGGGGAAGGAAAGTTGGGTGCGTGGGATAAGGAGAAAAAACAAATGCAGGGGTGCGGGCAAGAGGTAGCAGGCCGCATCGTCCCACGCGAAGCAGACGGGTAGCGGAGTGGGGTGGGAAGGTGGGGAGAGAGGGGGAGAGAGGGGGGGGGGCGGGGGTGGGTGGGAGAGTGGTGGGGGGGGGTAAAGAGAGCAGCATGGGATATACTGTGCTGCAGGTTTCTTTCCTTAAGAGCAAATCGAGCCAGTTTGTGACCAGCCGCTGGAAAGTGGCTCATACTATGAAGCTTGCCATCACAGTGTGTTCACCAGCGAGGAATCGAATCGAATTGAGAGTGAGGACTTTTGAGGCGCCACAATGAATGTGTTCCTCCAGCGAGGAATCGAATCAGATTGTGAGGAAGGAGACGGGTACTACTACCATCTTGAGGCCCGTCTTAGGATCGGAGGCTGTCCGAAGAACGATATCTTCTTCCCCATGAAGAAACCATAGAGTCGTTTTTCCTCCGCGAGAGACCACGAGTCGTTACTGGGACATGCCGCGACTTACAAGCCTCATTCTCTCTGAGTCAACTCGACCACGTCAGGCGAATTGGCAGGAGTGTACGAATCGCTGCTGTCTGGGTATACAAGACAGTTGCTTTGGACACGTAATCATGGATTGAGTTTTTTTTCGCCACACGTTTGCACGGCTTTCTGATCAATCGAGAGGCCAATTTCTAACGAGTAAACTGATAGCAACGCGAGCGCATACTCTGGGTAAAAGGCTAACTATGGCGGCTTTTATCCATGAATGGTGTAATGCAGCGGTTGTGGAGGTGAGCTGCATCCAACTCAATTTGCTGCACAGGCTGGGACGGGTCATGGGATCCTGCCAAGCTAAATTGGGACCACGCCATCCGCCATGGACGGACAATGGTTACTGTGACTGTTGGAGGATCAACTGTTGGAATGTTTTTGCACTCCAACCAACGCAACTACCCATGACATGTTGGTTGTTCTGATTTTTCCCTCGATTTCATCGCGACAGGGAGCTCGACGTGGTCGCCACAGAAACACATTCTGGTGCGACCGAATGTCGGAACCCGCAAACCGGACTGCGAATTGTCGGTTGGTTTCGCCACGACGAGAATGGGGAAGGTTTGCACTCTGTTTCGATTTCGCTGTTCGGTGACACCACCTTTTTCGTGACAGCCACGTTGCACCAGCAGCACGCAGGGGTGGTGGTTGGGGGACGGAGAAGGCTTTATCCGTGATTGTGCCATCTTCGGCAAAAGCGGAATGTCCATGCACGATTGAATGAATGCAAGCAGCTAGATTAGGCATTCCCACCAAACCTCTGCTTTGACAAAATAAAACACACTTTTACAGCAACAGAATGCTTGACGACAGCCAGCAGCACACACACTCTGTAACATTCGCCATAAATATCAACAGCATATTATATAAGAAGCCTACTTGGCAGGCCACAAACGGTACCAGCCAGTCCATGCTGACAGCAATCCGCTCAAGCCGAGTGTAAGCGGGTGGCAGCACACTGGATTAGGCTCCACTTGAGCTACGGAAATTAAGAGATCTCCAAACTGCCCAGCAATGCTCAGGACACGCATAAGCCTCTCCATTCTGATGGAGCTCAGGGCAATCTTAATCTTCATTGCCTCTCCTTCCAGCCTTCTTAATTCCTCAATGTATGCCTCTTTGCACGTGCATAGTAGCGGCAAGTTGTGACTTTCAGCAGCAGCAGGAGCGGCCTTCACCTCTGGTACATCTGCCGAAGCTGCCTTCCCCTCTGGTGCAGCAGCAGCCAACCAACCATTCTCACCTTCGCTTCCCTGGCTGCTGTTGCTCTTCCCACAGTCATGACTCTCAAAGCTGCTACGCCGGGATGCATCATTACTGAAAGCACACAAGCTGCTGTCAGTGCCATCATCACCGCCGCTGCTCTTTCCATGCCGCGGGCTGTTCTTTGCTGTGAGGGCAAGGGTCTCTGCTCGCTGGTGCAGCTCCTTGAGCTTCGCCTGAAGCTGCTTCTCCTGCTCCATCCCCCTCTTGATCATGATGATGTCCAGGGAGATGAAACACAGGTAGAGAACGGTCTCGCCATAGGCTGATATGTATGCTGTCTTGGCTGCATGGCGGAAGGAGGAACGAGGGGAAAGGCGAATGAATTCGGGGGCAAGCAGGCATATAGGTTGATGAATAGCCAGCACAAAATGGACAGAAGATTTGCACACACTACAACACCGGACCACACCAGACCACACCACGAAGATGCTATAACCTGAAACATATGATAATCGAGGAATTACCGGCTAGTTTTGGCTCAAGCAGGCCGACTTTGGACATCCATGTGAGGTGATCAAAGAAGAAGTAAACCATTTCACCAGCACTGCCGACCACGGAGAGCGTTGTCACCTGAAAGTAGAGAGATTGAGGGCAGAAGAGGAATGAATATAAAAAAGATCAAATTCCAGACCACCGCTGAGCACGAAAAACCATCAGAAGGTCCACTCAACAAGAGCCGACCATCACATTGATGCATGTGAAGCAGCAAACGGCGCAACTCAAACGAACAGCCTGTCTATGACGCACCTTCCAGTCGGAGTATTGGGTTGTCCGGAGGTTGTTGAAACCGGTCAAGAAACGACCCAGTCGGAATGCCTTGCGGCTGAGCCCACAGCCGATTTCGAATTTCTGAGCTCGGTCAGCCAAATCTGCGTGAAACCAAGCATAATTACAGGTGGCAAGCGAATGGTTAACGTGATAGTGGACACACCCTAGCATATCACGCGCCAGGGAATCTCCAGTCGAAAGAAAGAAGCGGACGCTGGAGCACATGTCACTGAAGCGATGTCAATGCTCACCTTTATTGGTTCTCAGGAGCTGCCAGTGAGCGAGCTTGAAGACATACTGAAATGTCTTCACCAGCTTGTCGATGCCGTCGCGTTTGGCGAGAAACGTCACAAACTTGTCCAGCTGGTCGTTCTCCCTCACGAGAGCCATGAGAATCCGAGGAAATTATCCGACGAAGTGGAACTGCTGATCCTGGCAGGGGAATTACAATTGCTGGTGACCTCAGGGCTTTGACGCCGACTCGACTTTATCACAGACGATACCCTAAATTGCTGCTTTGAATGCTCAACTCCCAGCGCTCCTGCGGCACGCAGCCGTCGTTTAGTATTGATACGACAATTTCCCGTGCACTTGCGAGGAGCTGGAGAAAAAATAGAGTATCCGTCGTGATTGTCAGTCTAAACCACGGTCACATTTCAAGGCAACCACACGTGCGGAATGCCTACAGCCACACTGATTCTCATACATGACTCAGCAAGGACAAGTCGAAAGTAGACTACTAAGGCGGTCTGGCTCTTATGGCACGAGGCCTATGTCGCCATGGCTGGTTACAAGGTGCCCATGGTGCCCATTCTCATGGCTGATGTTGCTGAGCCCAAACGGTGGCGAAACGCGATTTAGTTTTCGCACGCTCCACCTCGCACCACTTTCCCTCGGGATGAGGAGCTGGCAGAAATGAAGCCTCAAGGAAAAACCGTATGTCATACACGTCACGGTGCTGGACCCACTGCCAAGTCAGAACCACGTCCTTGTTCGTCTGCACCTGGCATCGTAGCCAGCTCAGGAATTAGTGGGGCTGCTGATAGTGAAGCCCGTGAATATGGGTATTGATACACCAACTTCTGCTCATGCAAATCCTGCTTGTATATAGCTCATTATTTCACAAAATTCGTTTAAGAAAATCGTAACTTAAGAAATAAAATAGAACCAATACATGTATATATTAAAGGTTCAATATATGATGTTTGGAGAATCGTAGATATTTACAGCGTCAACCGTGGATTTGAGAACTTCAAATCTCTGTGAAGCGAACGTAAAAATTTCCCTTGGATTGTCTAACATGTGATCTACAGTTCTATATCATCTCCAACTTGAAGCATGTACCAATTGATCAATATAAATTCTTGCTGGTTTCAATGCTGAAGCTCCTCCTGTCAGGCTACAGCAGATGTCCACCTATATGTCAATTCCTGCAAACAAACCTTGATTCTTCCTTTTCACCCTCCGCCATCAGTATCAGGCACGAGGAGGATTCGCTGCTTGTCAGTCAGGCTCCATAGACCAGGACATCGTTTTCCTTCCAGCAATGTCCTGAATTTCTTGTAATTTGATCATTCTCTAGCGACCAGGCCTTTTATTCTGTCGCACGGTGCAGCGGGTTCCATTGCCTGATTAGCAGCAGTCATGGTGGACGCATCAGCTCCAGCTTCGGAAGTTCCAGTCGCTTCCGAGCCTGTCCAGAAAGCGTCAGGCTCGGAAGCGGAGGCGAATGCCGAAGCTCTTCCGGTGATCGACATGGTGCCGATCCTGGAGCTTGCCGAGGCTAAAGTGTGCTCATGTTCAGTGAACGACCGTGTCGGCGTGTTCGACGCATCTGTCTCGTCAGCGCTCGATAGCAAAGGTCCGTTATGAAGACATGAACAACATATTTACGCGTGAACAACTCAGTAAACTGTTTCGATTGCAGGAATGCGATGATGACGGACGGATCTAGCACCCGATTGGTGGAACGTGTTGGTTAAAGTTTCTGGCAATGAACCATGGTATCAGATCGAAGTTCAATCTGACAGATTGTTGGTTTCCCTAAACACGCGACATTTCTAACCAGGTCACCAAATTCTTACAGAATGAAGGTTTTCGGAGGGTTCTACACAGAACCGGCTAAATTTCAACCATCCGCCAGTTCGATTTCCTGGATTGGTTTCTCTTCGTCGTCGCCGATTTTTGAACAGATTTGAGCAGACTCGTAGCTTCGCATTCGCCAGTCTGTGCGACAGAATTCAGTGGCCTATGGAGTTGTCTGATAAAACCTGGACAACCAGCCCGGATTCTGTGAACAATGACGTCGATGAATGAAACCTGGATAACCCTTTTTCCCTCCACATACTTCCTTGAATCCGGATGACAAATCATCTCGCTCCTCCATTTTCACCCCATTCTGCATTTTCCTGAATATCCGCGCTTTCCCAGTCCTTTCTCCTTACTGCCGTCATATGCGGTCAACCTTCTTCCCTCCCTTCCTTCATTTCTTTCCCTCCCTCCCCTCCTTTCCGTCCCTTCCCTCTCTTCCCTCCCGTCCCTCCCTTCCCTCCGTTTCCACCCTTCCCTACCTCCCCTCCCTCCGTCCTCTCCCGTTTCTCAGCTGTGGACGTCGCAGCAGCAGCCCCTCGCCTCGCCTCGCTCATCTTTCAGACCCTCCCCATCTATTCCGACCGTCGCTCCCAAGCCTCTGTTGAGCGAGCTATAACCAAAGCCCTCAAGCGCGAAACTGCCTTTGTCAAGGCATTCGCAGGAGCTCTCGTCCAAGCCTGCGCCAAGCCAGGCTCGGTGTCAGCCTCGGTGGCCGGCTTGGTTCGGTACAAGCTGCTTAAGTGGTCGTGTCTGCTGCTGAGGGAGAGGGGGGATGCGATTGTGGGGGTGCGGGCAGCGTTCTCTCGTCTGGTAGTGGCACAGGGGACGCTGCTGACGGTGGCACTGGGAGATGAGCCCAGGCTGAAGCGCGCTTCGTTGCATGCTGTAAACGAGATGCTTGGCGTGGTGAGTATTACGAATACCCTGAATACAATTGAAATATGTAGTAGTATAACTTTCGTTTGAGTAACCAGGAGCTTCCATTACTGTACAAAAACAATATGGCATGCCTCCTGATGTCAAAACTGAGAGCTTGAGTCTGCTTTTAGAAAACATATATGAGCGTGGTGGAATCTTAACACTACGTCCTCTTTCCTCCCCTCCCTCCCCCGCCCCCCCCTCCTGCACCCTCTCTTTCCACCTGTCACTTTCTCCCTTGCACTTTCAGGTGCCCTCCCTTGCACCAGCATATCTGGCAGAGATAAAATCCACGCCTGTCACCCTCACCACAGTTGGCATCGCCCATCCCCTTCTCACTTACTTCCTCGAGTCTAAGGCACGCGAAGCAGAAGGTGCTGCAGCAGCAGATGGCGTAGCGAACGGGACTGCAGAAGCAGCAGCGGCAGCTGCTCCTGGTTCCACAGCAGAGGCCAAGGTAGGAAAGCAGTCCGATGGTTGTCTGCCTATAACGGATCACAAGTGGTAGTTCGCTGACAGAATATTCTCTAAGCACAACACGAGGTTCTTTTCCCGTATGGATTCCTTCCTGTCACTACCCCTGCTGCAGCCTGCAGGCATGCATCCTGGAAGCCTTTTTCATGTTGGTACTCGCTGCTGAGCAGCAAGGAGCGCCCTCTGTTACTGCTGTTCATCCATCTGACTTCTTCTTCCCTGTCCCTTCCTCCCTCTTTCACCAGGCGTTTTTCGTGGAAACCTATTCGAAGATCGTGCTGAGCAGCAGGGAGCGCCCTCCCCATGTGGCATCAGAGGCGTTTGCGCCTCTGCTGCACTCGCTGGAGCACTCAGAGTTCAAGGGGACACTCTTCCCCACTGCCGCCAAGATGCTCAAGCGCAACCCCGAGCTCATCATGGATGCCGTTGGTGAGTTCACTTCACAGGCGCCTGGGTAGTGACCCTTGCTTTGCTGCACTCGCTGGAGCACTCAGAGTTCAAGGGGACACTCTTCCCCACTTCTGCCAAGATGCTCAATCGCAACCCCGAGCTCATCATGGATGGAGTTGGTGAGTTCACTCCACAGGCGCCTGGGTAGTGACCCTTACTTTGCTGCACTCACTGGAGCACTCAGAGTTCAAGGGGACACTCTTCCCCACTGCCGCCAAGATGTTCAAACGCAACCCCGAGCTCATCATGGACGCTGTTGGTGAGTTCTCTCTCCTCAAAATATGCTCAAATGTTCCATCGATGTGCCCGCCATTGTTGAAATAATCAATGTGGACTTTTCTTCCCCCTCTCCCTCTCCTCCCCCCGTTTCCCTTTCCTCCCCTTCCCCCCATCCCCCACTTCTTCTCCACCTCACAGGCTACCTGCTGTCAACTGTGCGCCTTGATCTGAGTGCCTATGCACCGGAGCTGCTGCCCACGCTAGCCCTGCAGGCCCGGCTCCAGAACGCAGCCACAAGGGAGGAAGCTGAGTAGTGATGACATGCCCTCCCCTCCCCTCCCCCCACCACAGGCTACCTGCTGTCAACTGTGCGCCTTGATCTGAGTGCCTATGCACCGGAGCTGCTGCCCACGCTAGCCCTGCAGGCCCGGCTCCAGAACGCAGCCACAAGGGAGGAAGCTGAGTAGTGATGACATGCCCTCCCCTCCCCTCCCCCCACCACAGGCTACCTGCTGTCAACTGTGCGCCTTGATCTGAGTGCCTATGCACCGGAGCTGCTGCCCACGCTAGCCCTGCAGGCCCGGCATCAGAATGCAGCCACAAGGGAGGAAGCGATTGGAGTGTTTGCAGTAGCAGCCAAGCAGTGCAGCGACTCTGACAGCATCCGGACCATGTTTGCATACCTCAAGGGGGTGCTGGCAGGTGAGCGCTCTCCCTTGACTTGTCACAGTATAGAATCAGATGTTTTTTCTCTCTTGCGATATTGCCACCTGCTTTCGCGCACTTACAGCAGTCCAGCCAAGCAGTGCAGCGACTTTGACAGCATCAGGACCATGTTTGCATACCTCAAGGGGGTGCTGGCAGGTGAGCGCTCTCCCTTGACTTGTCACAGTATAGAGTCAGATGTTTTTTCTCTCTTGCGGTATTGCCACCTGCTTTCGCGCACTTACAGTAGTCCAGCCAAGCAGTGCAGCAATTCCGACAGCATCCGGACCATGTTTGCATACCTGAAGGGGGTGCTGGCAGGTGAGCTGGCAGGCACAAAGTAGAATGGATTTCTTAACACGTTACAACCCGCCCTAGCCCAGATGGCAGTAGCAGCCAAGCAGTGCAGCGACTCCGACAGCATCCGGACCATGTTTGCGTACCTCAAGGGGGTGCTGGCAGGTGAGCTGGCAGGGACGCATGCTTTCAGTCGGAATGGTTTCTATAGATGTGTCACGACCTGCTGCTGTAGATCACACAACAGCACTGCCAACCAAGCAGTGCAAGGACTCTAGTATGAAACCTGTTCTCTCTTCCTATTGGCCCATGACTGCCTTCCCTTGCCTTGCTCTGAACGCCTCAAAGGTTGCCCTGTATGCGGCAAAGGAGTGCTGACAGGTGGTCTTTCGAGTTTAAGGTGTTCCCAACAGGTTGCTTGCGACCATGCCACATGCTCGTTCCCTCAATTCTCCTCCCCCCTCCTCCTCCCTAACCCCACTTTCCCAACCCCTTGCAGGCAAAGAGGGCAAGCTGACATCAGCGTATCAGAAGGTGGGAGTTTACCAGACTCTGCGGGCCCTCTCCGCCTTCTCTGCGCCAGGGCCCAATGCCATGGCGCCAGCTGTCGCTGCTGACGTGGCGGAGTTCCTGATGACAGCCTATGCTGGCGACAGTGAGTGTTTTGTATACTACCCCAACTTCTGCAAAGGCGTACATGCCAGTTAATAGAGTTTTCACATGCAGTGTCTATCAGTGGTGGATGTGGAATGGATGTATCCCAGTCGACTTCCTTCCAGTAATTTCTCTTTCTCGTCGGCCCAACAAAGCTCTCCCCAAGCCCTTGCTCTTTCTGCTCTCTCTCCTTCCCTTGCACGTCCTCTTCTGCAGCACTGCTCATCCCCCATCTTCCCTGACCCCTCCCCCCCTCCTATTTCGCCTCCCCCTTCCCCTTCTTCCCCCTCCCCCATTCCCACCCTGGCATATTCCAGCCAATGAGGAGGTGCTTGCATCGATCCTCTCAGCTCTGGGCGAGTGGCTTGCACGGACAGCAAGGCAGGCGCCTGCTGCCACGTCAGCTTTCGTCACTGCCAGGCTGGCGAAGGAGAAGGAGACGCTCAGGCGGTGCACGCTGAGGTGTATGCGCCTGGCCTTCCGCAACCCACACGTGCGAGAAAAGGTGAGAGAAAAGGGTGGAAAAAGAAGGGAAAGAAGGGAGGAGGGAAGAGAATGAGATGTTAGGAGTATACTGAGATGTTAGGAGCATGCTGATGCCATGCGAGTTTTGAGTAGACTCAAACCACCCTCCCTCCCCCCCTCCTCGCCTCCTTTCCTCAGCTCGTACCTTGCGTGGACGTGCTCGTGGCACTGGTGAAGAGTGGGGTGGTGAAGCCCACATGCGAGTTTGAGTCGACTAAAACCACCCGACCACCTCCTCGCCCCCTTTCCTCAGCTCGTACCTTGCGTGGACGTGCGAGTGGCACTGGTGAAGAGTGGGGTGGTGAAGCCCACATGCGAGTTTGAGTCGACTAAAACCACCCAACCACCTCCCATCCCCCTTTCCTCAGCTCGTACCTTGCGTGGACGCGCTAGTGGCACTGGTGAAGAGTGGAGTGGCTAAGCCCACCATGCGGCTGGACGGGGTCTATGCGCTGCTGCTTGCGGCCTCCATTGCTGCCCTCGACCTGGGATCAGGTATGACATTAAATTGGGTGGTGGTCCATCTGGCATTTTGTTTGAAATCGCATGCATCACCATGTACCTCTTAAGCCCACCATGCGGATGGACGGGGTCTATGCGCTGCTGCTCGCCGCCTCCATTGCTGCCCTCGACCTGGGGTCAGGTATGACAGTTGGATTGGGTGGTGGTTCATCCGGCATTCTGTTTGAAATCGCATGCATCACCATGTACCTCTTAAGCCCACCATGCGGATGGACGGGGTCTATGCGCTGCTGCTCGCCGCCTCCATTGCTGCCCTCGACCTGGGGTCAGGTATGACAGTTGGATTGGGTGGTGGTTCATCCGGCATTCTGTTTGAAATCGCATGCATCACCATGTACCTCTTAAGCCCACCATGCGGATGGACGGGGTCTATGCGCTGCTGCTCGCCGCCTCCATTGCTGCCCTCGACCTGGGGTCAGGTATGACAGTTGGATTGGGTGGTGGTCCATCCGGCATTCTGTTTGAAATCGCATGCATCACCATGTACCTCTTAAGCCCACCATGCGGATGGACGGGGTCTATGCGCTGCTGCTCGCCGCCTCCATTGCTGCCCTCGACCTGGGGTCAGGTATGACAGTTGGATTGGGTGGTGGTTCATCCGGCATTCTGTTTGAAATCGCATGCATCACCATGTACCTCTTAAGCCCACCATGCGGCTGGATGGGGTCTATGCGCTGCTGCTCGCTGCCTCCATTGCTGCCCTCGACCTGGAGTCAGGTACGGCATCTGAGTCTGTCAAACATCCCATCTGGTATCTCACTATCCCAAGCCATAAACCCTGAATCCTCTACCTTTGCTTACCGACCATCCAGCTGGAAGGGTGCATGTGGGTCGGCAGAATCTGTCGGTTCTGGTTTCTTCTCTCCTGTCTGCTCGTTTGCCTTGCCCTCGTTGCATCCACTCTCTGTGTCAACGTCACTTGGTGTGTGCGTGCGCATGCGCGTGTGTGTGTGTGTGTGTGTGTGTGTGTGTGTGTGTGTGTGTGTGTGTTTGTGTGTGTGTGTGTGTTGTGTGTGTGTGTGTGTGTGTGTGTGTGTTTGTGTGTGGGTCTGTGTGTGTTGTGTGTGTGCATGCATGCGTGCATGTGAATGTGTGTGCACCAACAGAGGAGAAGCTAACCAAGGAGAAGGTGTGGCAGCTAGTGCTGCAGGGTGACCCTCCTTTCCTCTCCACCTCCATTGTACGTTCTGCTCTCTCTCTCGAACGGGCCTTGGTATTAATGTCAGCGAGGTACACAGATGGTAAGGCTACAGCAATCTCACGGCCAGGCTACAGCAAAACAGCAGCTAACCCCGCACTATCCCAGCCCCAGCCCCCCCCTCCCCGCCCGGCCCTAATGGCCGGAGGGGTCTTCTATCAACTGATACAGCTGCCCTTCACTCATTGGAGTAAACGGGCCCTGCAGGCCGAGCGCATCCGCCGTGAGGGCCTCATGGGTCTTATCCCTGAGGGCAGTGGCTTGCGCTCTCTGCAGGGTCACACTCCACCGCTGCCGGTACTCGGTGAGTAGCTTGGCGCATTCCCTCGACTTGGGGGTGGCGTTGAACCGCCGCATGGCCGCTAACTCCGCGCAGCTGCGAAGGAATTCCAGGACTCCACTCGAGGGGTAACCGTAGGTCTCAACCGCCAAGGCGTAAAAGCCCACCCAAGCGCTCCGCCTGGCGTATTTGCTTGCCTTCTTGTCCGCCTGCATTCTAGCAGCCCAACCGGGAGCTTTACGGGCGTATTCATCCTGGTGGGAGACGGGGTCCGTGACCGTGATGTCACAGATCCACACTTCACCGGTGTCGGGATGGCGGATAGAGATATCCGCTTTGAGGTTTTCGACCGGTGAGTAAGCCGTTGTCTCCTTATGCACGGTGAAGCCCGCTTCCGCAGCTATCTTTGCGCACTCGTCCCGAAGGGCATTGTGGGTTGCAATTCTCCCCCCCCCTTTCTCGCACCGCATCAAATGGTTCGGTAGGCGGTCGTCGGGGAATGTGGTGCGGTATCTGCAGTCGCAGCGCCTTGGCACAGGTAGGGGGAGGCCTAAGCGGAAGGAGGCCGCTGTGGAGAACTGAGAGGGCCCGAGGCGGAGGGAGGAGATCAGCGGGACGGCGAGCAGCCAGTCCCCTGCGCCGGGGCCCAAGAGGGACTGCAGCCGCTGCGTGTGTCCGAACAGTGGGTTGAGCTCCATCTCCCGCGAGCTCTCGAGCAGTTGCATGAACCTTGCAGTTTGAACCGCGAGGGAGAGCGACTGTTGGAGCTTTGGCCCGTCCGGTCTCTGTCTCCCCACTTGGAGGGCCTCGATCCCCTCAGGAGGCAGCACGGCTTCTAGGGCAGCAAGGCGCCTTGGGAGGAGGGACGTAGATTCCTCGTTGGAGTCCATTAGCGGCAGCAGTCCAGTGAGAGCAGGGTTTGCCGCGTCGCCGAAGGTTCGCAGCAGGTGTGCAGCAGCAGTGACTGCAGCCAGGTAGGCATGTCCCCCCTCCACTGCAGGGTTGGTGATGCCCAGGCCTCCCAGGGACGCGGGCAGGGCGGCCTGGTGCCAAATCCTCTCCCTCTCGACCCGGGCTCTGGGGATTTCTGTGTGTGCTGCGGCAAGGTAGGTATGGAACAGTTCTTCCCCCCAGGCGGACCATTCCCTCAGCGGTAGGGCTTCAAGCGGCGTGGCTCTGACCATGAACGAAGCGCGGCGGCTCACGCAGCGGGTAAGTAGGAGCAGGCAGAGTTGCGGGTCCATCTGGGAGAGGAGCGGGAGCGGTTCAGCAGCAGCTTTAAGGCGTTCCCGCACTCGGGCAGCGCAGCTGGCGGGGGGCCCAATCGGGCTGCCCAAGACGCGGATCCCGTCCCGGGAGATAGTGACGCCGTGGGGCAGAGCGGCGGGCTCCAGGGCTGTGGCGGACCATGCTTCGCATTTCGCGGGGTTGTGGGACAGGCCGTGGCTGAGAAGTGCTTCCGTGAGGTGGTTGAAGGCCGCCGTGCAGCTCGCAGTCTCGCCTAGCAGGGTGATGTCATCTGCGTACGCGAGGAGCACCACCTCTGGGTGGGCCGTCGCCGTTGCAGCGAGACAGGGATGGATGCTGGCCGCGAACAGCATAGGCCCCAGTGGGTCGCCCTGGCGCACGCCTCGCGCGCTCTGTAGAGGCGCCGCCTCGAAATCGTGGTCGAGGTAGAGGGCTGATGGGCGGCCGTATGAGAGGCGGACGAGGGGGACCAGGGTGTCAAGCTTCGTGCCTTTCAGTCCTTCAAACACCGCCGCGCGCTCCACGGCATTGAAAGCGTTTGCCAGGTCGATCTGGAGGGCCGTTGCTCCGGGGAACTCCTCCAGGTAGGTGCGGGCCGCGTGTATCGCTGCCTCGATGCCCCCCGCGATCGCCACACCGAATTGTAGCGGGGTGAAGTGGTCGCGCGCTGCAGGGGCGGCCAGGAAGAGCGCCGCCTTTGTGACAATACGCAGCAGACATTCGCCCACGGCTATTGGCCTAGTTCCGCCTTGGGGTTTCGTGAAGGCGAGCAGGCGCGAAGCGGTGAGTAGATCTGCAGCCTTGGCGCTCAGTTTACCCGCTAGCGCCGTGTTGGTAAGCGCGTGCAGTTGTAGGAGGACGTCGGTGTTCCCAAGGGCCGCATCTCTCAAGTGCTCGAAGGTAGTCCCTGATGGCCCAGCCCCTACGCCGTTGGGGCAACGGGCCAGCAGCTTCCTGAACTCGCGAGCTGTGATTGAGGGCAGAGTCTCAGGGGCAAAGTCTTGCACCCAGACTGGGATGGCTGCGGTGGCCCTTGGGTGCCTGGCCGTGAGCGCAGCCAATACGTCAGGGGTTGGCGAGCAGACGGGCGTGGCAGTTAGCGACTGGAGGGACTTCGCCAGGTTTCCCCTTTTCGCTAATCCCTCGGCTCTCGCCAGCTTTCCCGTGGTGTCAGGTACGTGTCGTGGTTGGGGGTTGTTGTTCACTGCTTCTGCCGCCTCGTCGTAAAGGCCGCGCCACTGCCCTTGGCGAAATCTCGTCAGTCTGTCGCCCATTGCCTTCCAGTCTGGTTTTCGTGCAGATGACGAGCGCAGGAGAATTCGCGGGAGAAACATCAGCAGCTTCCAACCAGGAGTGGAATCAGGGGTTATGGCGAGGTGCAGAAGTGGGGTCAGCAGGCAGATGGCGAAGGATTCGCGAAGTGGGCGAGGAGGGTGGCGGGCAAGGGGAGGCTGTCTGCTGTCGCGTAGCGGGCCGAGGTCCCAGTTGGCGATGTCAGCGAAAAGGTCTTGACGTCTTGCCAGGATGTCAGCGCTGATGATTGGGGCGGGGGTGGCAGGCGTTGGGCCCGCGTTACTGGCTGGGGCGGTGGTAACCGCAATGTTGGGGGCGGTTCGGTTTGGTCTCGCGGTCCGATTTCTGGGGGTTGGGGTTGCAGATGCGGCTCGGCCCAGGTTTGGGATTTGCCCCACACCTTCGGATCTGGTTTGGTTGGCAGGAACGCCTCGGGCACGTGGGCTGGGGACCTCCTCTCCTTGGAGTAGGCGATCCAACTCCTCGTCATCCTCCTCGACTTCAACCCCTAACAACCCCTCTCTTTCAGGGTTAAATAAGGGGTCCCCCTCGTCACTTCTCTCATTCTCCGTAGCCTCCTCAGCCTCCTCGCGAAGTTCCTCCTCGCCGCCTCTCGCGCTCTGACGTATCAGCCTCTCCGCGTTTCTCGCGAAGCCGCTGGCTCCTGTGCGGCGTCTGTTCGTGCCCCGCGCACCGCCGCCTCCCCGTCCCCGCTCGCTACCCCTTCGTCCGCGGCGACTGCCGCGTCCGACGCAGATTCCACGCGTTGCTCTTGCTACTGCGACTCCCTCGCCCCCCGCCAGCGGCGCCGCGGTCGTCTCGCCTTCCCTTCGTCGGCGCGCTGGCATCTGCTGCGCTACGGTCGGGAGTGATGGACCCGTCCGCAAGACGGGATCCGGAGCTTGAGCATTCCGCGGAGAGCGCGCCGCGGGAGCCTGCGCCTGCCGAGCCTCGGCCACGACTTCCTGCGCATCCCTCCGCAAGCGAGCCCGTTCACCGATTCGAGCGGGTGCAGACTCTTCCCCATCAGCCAGCCTCGCGCCTCTCCCCCCCTGAGTATTCGTGGGCTCCTGCGCGTGTAGCGTCGAACCGTCCTGACGGTCAGCAGCCGCAGCAGCGCGGGCGCTCGCCTCAGCGTCATCCCCAACGGCAGCCGTCTCCTCGTCGCCTATCTCCCGCGCGTCGCGAACATTATCAGCGCAGGGAGGGGGATCCGCGCTCCCCTGAGCGTCCTCGCTCTCCTCGGCGCCCGTCTCCTCGTGGTCGAGCAGGCCAGCGCTCACCCCGAGCGCGATCCCCCGCTCAACAATCACCTCGGCGAGCTCCGGCGACGCGGGGGAAGGGGTCGCCTGGGCGTCGCTGGGAATCAGGTCGTCGCGAGCCGTCCCCTCCGCGTCCGAATTCGGGTGGTTCCGCTGGGCGGCGGGGCCGGCGGAATGGCGGAGGGCGCGGCTCATCTGGCCGCCAGCCGGATCCTGCTCTTGATCACGCTGCGAACACATTCGTGGATGTGGTGCGGCAGGCCCGGGCGAGCGGGGGGCCGACTCACGTTCACATCGAGGTGACAAATGGCCCTCCCTTTGCCGCGGATCCCGGCCCGGTGGCCCCACTGCGCGCGCCGATGTTGGCCGGGTATCTGCCCGCGCGGGTGGGGAGACCCGACTATCGCTCCCCTCGTCAGGTTCCTGGCTTCTCCGCTGGGCGCTTGACTGTTGGCCGCGTTCCTGGCTGGTCGGCGTCGTTTGCGCTCGAAGAGCAGACTGCACCTCACCCCAATCCCGTGGGGAGAGACCCCATGCTGACCATGTGCCGGATATTGAATCTGGCGGAGGCGTGCGAGGTGGTGGCGAACTTGCAGCTGGCAGTGTGTGGGGCCACCCGGAACTTTCCGAGCAGTTTCGGTCCAGGATCCCGAGGATCCTGCGTGACTTTGGCAGGATCGCTCGAGTCGCCGTTGGCGCCCGTGTCGGAAGCGCCCGCCGGGGTAGCTCCCTTAGCCCGTACTTTCCCCCGCCACGTGGGGGATCTTGTAGGGGCTGCTCAGGCCGGGACCCCCCTGGACGTGCTCCAGTCATCGGCGCATCTTCTTCTTGCGGTATCGGCGTGTATGCGCTCGATGCTTGAGATGGAGGGGGCGGAGCCGTACACGATGTAGGCCTCC